TAGATAGATAGATAGATAGATAGATAGATAGATAGATAGATAGATAGTAACCTTTGACCTTCCTAGAAATTTTGAGTACATTTGTCAGTAGCTGTGGTTGTACTTAATCCAACCTGCCGGTGGCAGCCTTGTACTGACAACTCCACAGTGCATCAAACACAAAAACACGTTTGTGACTGTCTCTCACATACAGTAGGGGCTAAATGAGGCCTGAGGGCCAGAAGCGGCCCTTGGATCATCTCCATCTGGCCCTCAATGTATTCAAATAAAACAAGACAACTGAAAATACATAAATAAAAAAGAAACTTCAAAAATATATATTTCAAGGTGAAGAAAACAAAATTTATACTTGCTACTTCTATTAAGAAAAACAGTTTCTGGACCACAACATTTGTTTCTTTCTAAGTCAGTAAGGTCAGTGGTTTTACTGGTCATTCAGATTTGGTTTCATGGTTCATGTGCATTTTCTGACATTTTTAAGGTCAATGTGTACTTTAAATACTGAAATTTGAGCTTAATAGCATGTTGCCACTTGACAAAATTATTTGTAGAACATTAGGAGAAGTAATCAATGCAATTTTTCAGTCTTTTTGTTGCACATCTTCTTATTCTTTCTGCTTTTCCCTCTTCAGCTGTAGCCACAGCGAGTCATCCTCCTTCATCTCACTCTGTCCTCTGCATCGTCTGTCCTCACTCCAACTACCTCCATGTCCTCTCTAACTGCATCCATAGATCTCCACTTTGTCTTTTTCCTGACAGCTGCATTTCTAACATCCTTCTACCAGTATACCCACTGTCCCTCCTCTGGACATGTCCAAACCATTTCAGTCTGGCCTCTCTAACTTTATCTCCCAGTTGTTCAATCTGTGCTGTACCTCTGATGATCTCATTCCTAATCTTATCCATCCTTGTCTTTTTGTCAATGCCACTGTCTCCAGACCATACAGCATAGCTGGTCTCATCACTGTCTTGTAAATGTTTCCTTTGACCTTTGCTGACACATTTTTGTCACAAATCACTCCTGAAACTTTTCTCCATCCACTCCATCCTAACTGGACTCTCCTTTTCACCTCTTTACCACACTCCCCATTTTCCTGGACAGTGGACCCCAAGAACTTGAAGTCCTGCACTTTTGTGACCTCTGCTCCTTGTAGCCTCACTGTTCCACCCTCTCATTCACACACATGTACTCTGTCTTACTATGGATGACTTTCATTCCACTTTTTTCAAGTGCATACCTCCACCTCTCTAAGTTCTCTTCCACCTGTTCCCTGTTCTCACCACAGATCACAATATCATCTGGAAACATCATAGTCCACGGGGATTCCTGCATGACCTCATCTGTTAGTCGGTCCATCAGCAGATCAAACAAAAAGGGGCTCAGAGCTGATCCTTGATGCACTCCCACCTCCACCTTGAAGCTTTAATTACTGTTGCTATAGTAGTCCAGTCATCTGGAAGCTCTTTTTTACCACCCAGAGCCTTTTACAGCTCCTCTCTGAACTCCTCACATTCTTCTTTCCTCAGCTTCCATCATTTGATCTTCTTCTCTGATTTTACTCTTTTTCTCTTCTTCACAACAACAGTCATTCTACACACAACCATCTGATGCTGTATGCCACACTTTCCCCTGCCACAACCTTACAGTCTCCAATCTCCCTGAGGTTTCATCTTCTACACAGAATGTAGTCTACCTCTGTACTCCTACCTCCACTCTTATAGGTCACTCTATGTTCCTCCTTCTTTTGGAAAAAAGTGTTGACTACAGTCATTTCCATTCTCTTGGCAAAACCCACCACCATCTGTCTCTCCTGGTTTCTTTCCTTGACACCAAATCTACCCATCACTTCCTCATCCCCTCTGTTTCCTTCACCAACATGCCCATTCAGGTCTGCTCCGATCACCACTCTGTCCATCCTGGGAATACTCTCTATCACTTCATCCAGATCTTTCCCAAATTTATCTTTTTCCTCCTCATCACATCCAACCTGTGGAGCATAACCACTGACAATGTTTAGCATCAGACCTTCTACTTCTACCTTCAGACACATCACCCTATCTGACACTCTTTTCACCTCTACTACATTCTTTGCCAACTCCTCCTTCAGAACCACTCCTACTCCATTTCTCTTTCTATCCACACCATGGTAAAACAGTGTAAACCCTGCTCCAATGCTGTGAGTCTTGCTGCCCTTCCACTTGGTCTCTTGGACACATAAAACATCTACCTTCCTTCTCTGCATCATGTCAGCCAGCTCTCTACCTTTGCCTGTCATTGTCCCCGCATTTAGAGTTGCAACCCTCAGTCCTACATGTTTGACTTTCCTCTTCTCCCTCTGTCTCCTGACACGTTTCCCTCCTCGTGGTCTTCAACACATGTACTAACTTAAAACAGCTGCAAGCCCAGCAATTAACAGACACTTTACAGTTGGTCAATTATCATGAAATATGCAACTTATTTTATTAAATATATTATACATTGCTGCAACTATCAATAAGTTTTTTTATTGGTCTTTTTTTGTGGTTATTTTTGCTTTCATTTTGGTTTCATTTAAAAATTAATCATGTCCCTGCTCACTGGTATTCTTTTTCCTTCTCATGTGTTTGACATTTGGTTGGGTTAAAAACATGAATTTTCTGTTTCTGTGAAACCCATTCATCAATTGTTTGTTTTTGTTTTGTTTTAGCCAGATGTGGTCATTATTTACAGTACCTCTGTATTCTTTTACACTTGCATTTTATGAGAATTTGACCTTTGCTATGTCCTTTTCTGTGAAATATCCCCCATTGACTGATTCTGCTATGAGCCCTGATTAACTAATAAGCATCCATCCATCCATCCATCCATCATCCATCCAGCCATCATCCATCCATCCATCCATCCTTTCACATTAATGGGGAATGGCAGTAACTTTACCAGTAAGCTGAATGTGTTTCATCACCATTGATTAGTAATATTAAAAACACATGAAGATCAATTATGTTATTGGCAAAATGGACTGGAAATGTAAACATTAATGCTTTTAAGGTACATTTGTCAGAGCTTAGGTGGATTTCAGATAAAAGATGTGAAAACTTTTGACACCGACAACTGATGTGAATTTACTCTCAGCAAAATGTGGAATTTATCAAAGAGCAGATTTATGTTATAAAAAGCGGGCTATACTTCCTACCATAAACAGTTTTATGTAGTGAATTAATTTGCAATAGGCTTTTATTTTCAGGTCCATGTAAGAACTTTTTGTTTGATCTAAGCTTTTGGCAATAAATTCAAGTTAATTATGCTGGACAGGATGAATGTGTTGGATCCTTTTAAACACCTGTTAACTACTGTTTCTCCACCCACTGTTTACTGTGCACACACTCTGAATGTAATGAAACATTTCATCAAGTACAATGAATGCAGTAGTCTTCATGAGACAACTCAAGAGACACACATCTACCAGACTTGAACATTTACTGCAAGAATGCACAGGAACATACTTAGTACAGGATCACATTTATCAAGCTTGTTAATCCAACACACACTTGTAACTACCTAGTAACATATTCCTCTTGTGTAATTTTATGTAAAGCATTATGAGTGATCTCGTCCGAGTAAAGATTGAGGTCATTTTATAACCAATGTGTACATATCTTTGTTCAGCTTTGCCATCTGCCCTGGAAGCTACATTTTATTAATACATTTATTTCTGAATCACATTCTTTCTGCGTCTGAACACACTTTGACAATCAAAATTTAATTAAATTCAAATTAGGTTGGATGCGAAACTAAAGTACGGCACAGAGCCCATACCTCAAAAACCAATACAGCAACAAGGCCACACATTTGGATGATTCAGGATTTGATTCATTTAGTCGTGCCAATTTCCTGTCAAGCTTCTAAGCAAATAAATCAAACTAGTAACACCAGGTAACGAACGGAGAATCTACTTCCTCCAAGCATCATTAACTGAGACACCAAGGCTTAATTAATGTTTTTCGGGGTCATCTCAGGTATTACTTTGTCGAAATAAAACTTTGACTAAGTAATGCAGATTCAGTCTCATTCAGATCTTTACAATTTAAACATGTTTATAATGTGAAGTCCATAAGAAGATTCTTATATTTCCTTCTTCATTTTAATAACTTGTTATTTGTCAAGATTTATAACCTGCCACCTGAAGCATCTGTGAAAGGTGTGTAAACAGGAAATGCGTTAATCATGCTGGATGGTGTCGTAACCAGTTGCTTGTGTAATGTGATTTAAAAAACAGTGGTTAAAAGGGTCAAAATATGCAGAAGGGAGTGAACGCATTAGATCTATTCATTAATCGGCTTTTCTTTGTAAGTGAAAGAAAGTGATGTAATTTAATGGGTCTTCATGACATGGGCAGCGCAGCCCAAACAGGCAATTTGCAGGAAGTGGTGGGGTCACATACGGAAAACTATACTCTCTTTATGTTTCTGCAGATTGGGGAAGTGAAATTGACTTTCTGAGGCCACTAAGAATAAAAAAAAAAATCTTCCAAGTTTATGGAAGTTTATATTTGTCCCTAAGTGTAAATGAAAAGAGAATATGATGACAATTTTAACAAAAATGAAAATGAAAGTGGGATGGTAAGTACTGTCACCTCACAGCAGTTTGCACACTCCATTCCAAAAACCTACATGTTAAATAACTGTCAATTCTAGATTGACCCAAGAAGTGAGTGTTGTTTGTCTCAATGAGGCTCTGTGATGAACTGCTGACCACGTCCTGGCTCCTGGGTGTACTCCACCTCTTGCACAATGGCTTCTGACCCTAAACAGAAATGATTGTCACCAACTGTTAAATATTGCAGGGAGACAATTATGTTTTTGCCAAGTTTGAGTGCATGAGTGTTTGTTTTATCTTGCTGTTGCCAAAATATCAGATGAACCACTTAATAACTTTTAATAGTAAATGGACTGCACTTATATAGCACCTTTCTATCTTATCAAGATACTCAAAACTCTTTACAACACAATCTGTGTCCTCATTTACCCATTCATACAGCACTCTACAGAGAATAATCAGAGCTTTATCACATTCACCAATGGGACACACATCGGAGGCAATGGGGGGTTCAGTGTCTTGTCCAAGGACACATCGGTATGTGACTACTGGTGGAATCAAACCCCCAACTCTTGCAATGGAGGACGCCTGCTCTAAAATAAAACTCTCAGAAAGTTACTAGCTGTACATCTACAGCTAATACACATTTGGAGTCTATTCAGTTTAACACAGCCACCGCAGCTACATTAAATAACATAAAATGACTATAACTCTGTCAATTGTACAAATATTGTCCAAAACTTTGGTGTGGCAGTAGCTGCGAGGTTCACAAGACATCTGAGATGGACATTCTTGCAATATTGCATTAAATTGCATTTTATTAAAGGTATGAAAAAATTTAATTAAAAAAACAACAACTATGGAATTTTTCATCCTAAAGGTGGGTGATATGCATTCCATCAACAAATGCAGGCCTTTAATTAGGTACAAAATTGGAAATGAAAAATTAAAAAAATGACCAAAGCTTTGGATAAAGGTGTATAATCACAATACCCAGCCAGTTTTCACACCTATCAGATGTGACCAGAGGGGACACATTTGTGAATTAGATAACAAAGACCTTAACAAACCCCTGGTGTGATAGATCAATCTGCATACGTATGTGTGTATCTTACGTCAGCTTTATAACCTGAACTCCACAATATCTGCTCTTTGAATTGAGAAAGCTTCTCGGATGAGAAGTGAAACGTCTTCTGTTACAAATAAAGTCCAGTTGTTTTTGTCTTGAACCTTTTTTTGAATATACTAGTACTAATACACAGAGTAAATTATGCTCACTTTCTCACTTTATGTTTTATTTCTAAAGTAGGATACTCAGTTTCTCCACAATAAAATATTACATATGCCTGCACAGTTCATTGCTTTAGTTTTTTTTTGTGGCAAAATAATATGTTTTTTTTACTTTACAAGAATTCAGTCTTCTGTGATAGAGTTGTGACCTGGATATGGGCACCAGTGACCCCTGCAACCCAAAACAGAAGCGAGTAAAGATGACTGATGGATGGATGGATGGATGGATGGATGGATGGATGGAATCCAGTCTATTCTTTTGTCTTAAAATGCAAAAATATCAATAAATGTTAACAATCACTAGAGGTTTTTATTTTATAATTTCACACCCACTGGCCAGAAAAGCCTCCTCTAACAAACTTAAAGTGGCCCATGGGCCACCAGTTGATAATGACAATTGTAGCAGGTTTTGCGGCTCTGGACATGTTAAATTTAGTGAAGGAAGAGGCAGAAATCTTTTTCATCCTAAAAGTTGCAGACCCCTGATCTGCTGTAATGTTGTATAAAATAATAACTTGTTCCCCTCGAGCGGTTTGTTTCCACCTGAAATTATAACGAGAGAGAAAAGCAGGATTATTATTTAAGTATGTAAATAAACCGCACCATCTCGCCCAGCTTCCTGTGTGTGTGTATGTACGTGTCGTGTGTGCGCGCGCGCGCGTCCGCGCCCCGTGTATGTTTGTGTGGTCGCGCGCGCGCTCGGGGCTGGATTTCGGTTTAAATATTCAAAATGGCGGACGGAGGAGCAGCGAGTCAAGATGAGAGTTCAGCACCAGGTAATGATTACAGCATTTTACATATTCATACTCGTATTCAAACTGCGTTGCTTACGGTTGATAACAATCAGAAAGCCGATGAAATGCGGAGGGACCGCGATGGAGGCTGGAACGAAGCGCTTTTTGAGTTTCTCACGGCCGTAGTTTGACACAGAGAGGAAACGAGCTGTTGCAGTGCGACGGTAAAATACATGGAAACATGCCTCCCCCCTTTGTGTGATTAGACGGCTGTACGCCGCTACATATTCATACCTCGCCCGATAAACACAACTTAGCATATTTTATTAGTAATTGCCGTCGTGACTCTGGTTCATATGTAACGCACAGAAATGCGTTTTCTGAAGGCTGCTTGGTTGAAACGCGGATGCTAGCTGGGTTAGCTCGGCGGCTAACGCTTGGCTTTGTGTTGATGCTCACCGGGGCTGTTTGAGAGCGGTTTGCATATTCATATTTCACCGGCCGGGCAGCGGCTGCGCTCGCTTTTGTATGTTTAAACTACGTATATTAATCCCAACACAACGCACACTGCTTTACAAGCCGTGTCGGCTCGGTGCGTCTGACTCGACGGGATTTATTTATTTATTTTAACGGCAGAGCATTTTTTGCCCTCGGTCTTTTGTGCTCGGCGCAGCGGAGCCACAGCAGCCTGTTGTGTTATTCATGCAGGCCTCCCTCGACCAGAGTGCGGAGTTCAGCACATTATTCCAGCTCTGGAAGCTCAACACGACACTGTACCGCCACACGGACCGGGGCGTGTTGTACAAGACGTTAATCTGAATAAACTGTCCGAGTGGTCGTTTTGGAGGTGCCGTCATGACATTTAAAAAAAGCCGCTGGAGATGATCAGTTGTGATGTTTGTCGCCTTTGTTTGGAAGTACAGTTCAACTGAGCACTTTCCCCTCGCCGGTGGGAGTAGTCAGGCTTGTAGTGGGTTTAATCATCTACCAAGTTATCTGCGTAACTTTCGTGCCTTTCTGATGGACAGGTTTTGAAAACTTGTTTCGTGTTTTTTTTTTTCACCCCTGGGAGTTAGCCATGTTGAATTCAGAGATTGTACCTGTGTATCCCCCCCGGCACAGGGAGGGGTTGTGAGGCCCACTTCCGGAAGGCCACAGTAATAACAGGCAGGAGTTTTCCTTTTTTTTTAAATTATTATTATTATTATTCTCCCTGTGAGTTTCAAGACCGGGCAAGACACAGCACGAGTGCAGAATTTTAGTTTATTTTAAACAAGTCTGTTCAAGTGACAGTGACTAAACTATCTGTAAATGTAAGTTAATCATTTGACATAGTCCTTTCTGTTCGTTTGATGTACATTTTGTTTTAAGCTAAGTGCTTTTAAAAGAAAACTTTTTATTTAGATTCATCTTAATGCTAACCTTTGACTTGTAAATTATTACAAGTAAAATGCTCATATTAAAACTTGGTTAAAGAAACGTCCCATAAGTTTGCTATAGCTCAAATAGTACAATTTACACAGTTTTGTAACTCTAAGTGAGGCAAGTTTTATATTATTTTCTTCCTTAAAACATAAAATGATGAGGAGTGTGTTTAACAAAGTTAACTGAGGTCCTCTGGATGGATTAAAAAATAAATAAAAATAAAAACTTGTTGAAATGGTTTGTCTTTTATCCAAATCAGTCTGAAGAGCTGCATTAAACTCAGTCTTATAAATAGCCCCTTTTCATAGTGGATCAACCCGTTACTGACGAAGATTTTGGATAAAAGATGAAACGTTTCAACAAGTTTTTTTTATCCATTCAGAGGAACTGACTTAACTTTAAAATTTTCTACCTGGATTATTGAGCATCAGGACATTTAAGAGTGCATTTCCAAAAATGGTTTTGAAATTTTTAATCTTGACGACATTGTGTAAAGTTTGATTTGTAAATGCTTAGAGGGACCTGACCATCTTTCAGAGCAAATTGCTTAAAATCAATTCAATTTAAAATCTTAAAACCAACTGTTTTTAATTTGTGACGTAAATTCACCAAGTTTCATATTTCACATCATTATGGAGAAATAAAAGGGAAACGGCGTCATTAGGGTATTGCATGCATTTTTATGGTACTGCCAGGTGTTATGTAGCATTCCTTGTCCTGAAAATTGTCACAAAAAGCATTTATGTGGTCGTGTCATGTGTACAATAAATCACAACCAGTCTTTCGTGTGAAAAAGAAGTGAGGGACTGAATTTGTGTTGGCACATCTTAATTGTCCTAGAATTGGTTCAGTTTTGTATTAAAATGGTTCAATAAGCTGCAGGAAAAAAGTGTCTTCCTCAAACTGGAGCTACTTTTCTAATTTAATCAGTTTTACAGTTCCACCCTGATTCCAGCCTTGTAGTTTCATCATGAATATTCATTGATGTAAACACTGTTGTCATGAATAATGCAACACATGCTGTAATAAATTCAGGACATGCCATCTCAAAGTACAGAGAGCCTCCATGCAGGCTTCAGTCAGACGAGCTGCGTTTTTATTGTGGAGGAAGAAAATTTCATTTGAGTTTTGTTGTATCTTCAGGACTTCAACAAGTTTTTCTTTTTTTAAAACATTTTATTAAATTGAATCATTTCTAATGCACGCATGAACATGTTAATATGAATGGAGTATACGTTGAGCTGAAATCTTTCTGGTTATCAGCACAACATGGAGCTGTCTAAAGACAAATAACAGTTGGCTCTAAACATGTACACTACTTTCAGGAAAATTTGAGAATTACAAGTTGCATTTAATACCATGTTATCCCTCCTTAATGGCTGTCATGCGTCTGACATAATTTAGATCTGTAGTGGGTGTTTGTTTTTCTGTTAAAGCTTTTATAGCTGGCTGCTAATTGTGGAAAAACAGTTTTAAAAACACTGACCTTACTGTTCACAGAGGCCTTAGTGAGGGGAAAACCCAGACTACGCAGAAAACTGTTGTGCTCTCTTTAATAAATTGGTCCAAAAGAGGAGAGCTGTGGAAGAAACAGTCATGGATGATATTTTACATGCCACACTAATAAACAGGAGTTAATACAAATATCAGCCCCGTAAAAGGGTTAATGTAAATGTGGATTTGAACTGTAGCGTTGAGTCTTGTGGCTAACCCCTGCGTGTACTTAATGGAGGTAGGTGAATATTCCTGCATGTCGTTCCTCAGAAATCCTGCTTTAATGTGGTTAGATTGAATTTTCCACCTAGTCTGTAGACAGTTGCCTAATGACCACCCAAGAGAGATACTGTGGTATCTTAGAGGTGTTGGACCCATTACTGTTCATCAGATTACTCTGTATTCTGCTCATTTGTGGGCTCAGTCCAGCGTTGCAGTTTGTGCTCTGTGTCGTCACCGTTTTGGTTTAAAACACTCACTAGTTTTCAGTCGTTTAAATATTCATGTTGATGCAGCATTTAGCTGGGATCTATGGGTTGATGGTCTCAAATTTATAAGTAATCTTTTTTCAGTCTATAAAAAAAAAAAGAATAACAATAACTGCATGGTGTCTAGACTCACCCAAATCTGAAAAAGTGGCCTCATTGTATTCTGTGTTAAACATAAAGAATAAAGGTGGTGGAGCAGAATGAGGATGTGCTCATTAGGTTTTGCTCTCCTCATGTTGAATCTCTCAGCTCACATTAACGTCCCTGCAGTATTCAGCCAGCCTTCCCATATTACAGCGCTAATGAGATAACGGTTTAAAATTCTCTACGCAGGATATTTGTATAATGCGTTGTTCCACGGCGAGGTTTTCAAGCCACTCAACTAAGAAGCTGTATATGTGTCAGAGTGTTGCTGATAACTGCCTTTTCATTCCCCTCTTTGTTTTCTCATTTGCTTTCTTGAAGACTACCGTAGATTAGTTTTCTGAAACTCTCAGGCACTCCTTGTCGGCATGATGCCTTCCTAAATATTTTTTACTCTGTGTGTGACACTTTGGGATAACCCTTTTTAGGTTAAAGTAAAACATAACTAAAGCTAAAACTAGAAACTGCTGTGCGGGAGAAATAATTGCACAGAATAAACTACAATTTAGTGCAAAGCTTATTATAGGCATATTTTATGTCATAGGCCTGTCACGATAACAAATTTTGCTGGGCGATTAATTGTCTTGAAAAGTATTGCGATAAATGATATTGTTTGACATTTGACAATGATTAGTAATTTTTGTCAAATTTAAGAAGAAATGTTTAATTTGTTTTGTGTGTAGTACCTTTTTCATGGCAGTATAAAGACCGTTTGAACCGAAGGATGGATAGTGAGGGAGAGTAGTGTGTCTCTTTAAGAAAAATGGGAGGGAGGCCCCTTGACGTGACATGGGCTGTTTCTCTTCGGTTCTCAAAATGGCGGACGCTCTGTGTGGTTTGAGCTCTTTAGAATAGCATTTTTCACACAAAGTTTTTAATAAAATATCAGTAAACAAGTTCTCAGCATCTTTTTGCAGAGAAAAACTACTTTTTTAGACGAAGGCACGGGTTTCTATCGTGAATTTTGCAGCTTCTACAAGATGGAGGTTTTTCCCGAGGTCGACCTGTTAGCTTAGCTCGTAGCTTAGCTTCTCAGCTTAGCTGCTTTTAACGATACAAAAATGCGATTTTGGATGGTTACTATACCTTTTTTTTTTTATAGAGCACTTAAAATGGCTACAAGGCCAACAAAAGTGCTGTACAGACAGAACAATAGACACATTTTAAACAAATTTTAAAGAAAGGGTGGGGTCAGTGAAGAGCACCGGAGTGTTTTTTTTTTTTTTTTTTGTCATCCAGTGTCTTCAGTAGAAAGAGAGAGACACGAAGAAACGATAAAGCTGATAAATGAAAATGAGGTCGATAATTTTCATTTATCATGCGATTAATTGATTTATTGTTTATTGCGACCGGCCTAGTCATATTATTTATTAGGCTACCATCCACATGTTGCCATGTAAGTTTTAAAAAAGTCTAAATATCTGAATTTTATGTATAAATTGCAACATGCAAATCTTTAAATGTTAATTTTTTATTTAGACAAGTGTGGTATTTTTAAGGTTTATTTTTATGGTTAAAACTGGTTTTGCTTGATTAGTATGGAACAGTGTTGATGTCAACAATCGTTTTTTGGCATTATTGTTTGCTTGCATGTGGTCAGCTTTTCATCTGGTTCTGGTGTGAGTGCAGATGTATGTAAGAGCTGTAGCCAGAAGTCATCATTGCAAGTTGGAGTTGGAAAGTCCCTTCCCCTAGAGACCCAGTCCTGCATTCCACTCCAGTGTCTCGGATTCACTGGAAACCTGTACAGCCCCCACTACTACGTTGTATTAGCATGAACTCTCAGTGCATGTTGAAAATGAATTTTAAAAGCGCTCCAAAATGAAACACTAATGGAATGTAAAACTAATCTAAATATGTTAATCCCCCAAACACTTCATAATATAGACGCCAGCAGTCCGCCACCCACCTTCTGCAGTCAGGCGCTGTGGAATGCTTTAGCCACAGGGGTTCTTGCAGTAATGACAAGCTTGTGGTGGATTAATGTGGAGTTATTTATTTCCGATTGAGTGAGTCCCCCTCCCCTTCCCTCTCACATCTTACGCCCTCTGCTTTAACGGTTCACCCTGGTCTCCATGACTCCTGCTCCATCAGTGAACTTCACCTTTCTAACTTGCATAGACCACTGCTGACAGACCTCATGTTGCACCCTGGATATCTTCAGTCCTTTACCTGTTCTTGGCTAATTACTTTTTAGGCCTGCGTTTTCACAGTAATTGGGCTTGTGCCTGCTGCCTCCGTTCACTCTACTGCGCCAAGCGCTAGTTTGAACACTTTTTCTGTCGTCCTTATTCCCCTGTTTTTTATCGTCCTCCAAAAGCCATCCAATTAATATGCTAATGAGCTGATAAATATTTATAGGAGTTTAAATTATGCAGAAAGCTTTCAGAGCCCGGTGTGAAATGCGTTGCTCGCAGGACTTCAAAGCCTTGCATTGCTAACGAGGCAGGGGTAAATTTGCATACGACTTTAATCAGCTGAATACTGATTATGCTTCATTATAGACTTGGAGGGAGGAGTGGAGAGGGGGGTGTTGAAGGAGGCCGCCAGCTGCACTTGTCGTTTGTTTCATTTCAGCAAGAGAGGGAGAACTTTTTCAGAAGCACAGGCAATCTTGGGGAGAGAGAGAGAGGTGCAAAGAAGGCACAGTAGATGAAAAAAGGGGCAGAGCCATGAGAAAAGAAAAGAGGGAGGCAAGGAGAGCTGTATGTCTAAACCCTGTTGGCTTCCCCAACGTGTGTATCCCAGTGTTGTTCAGCAGACCGTGTGGTGGACATCGCCACTGTGTCTGCGTGCGCCTGTGGTTGCATTGAAACTTTGCTCGCTGCTGACCAGTGGAGAGTGAAAACGGGGAGGGGTAGGTGGAAGAGCGCCGGACATCCTGTCGGTGGGCTTGACCAATCGAGGTAGCTTTACTTGACAGGTTCAGCAGCCATGCTGGAAAATGCAGGTGGAGTGAGAGTGGGTGAGTTTTGATGGGGTTGTAATGCAGCTCAATAGGGATTTATTGTTTGCTGGGATCATTGTGTGATGCAAATGTGCCAGATTAGCATTTCCTGTATCAAAATGACAGGATTGGTTTCACATTAGCATATCACAGATTTGTAATTTAACATTTTTAATTACAATATTTTATTGAGTAAGTCTGAATGTTGTTTTTTTTTTTTTTTTGCATAATATGAACATTCTCCAGAAATGGGAGTCAGGTTTGTCAGAGTAAATGTGAGTATAACTCATTATGAATCCTTGTGGCTCTTTCAGATGTTAAAGTGAAGTCAGAAACCACTAAATGTGAAATGGAAAGTGTTGACGGGAACCCCGGTGAGTAATCTAAAGTTGTTGTTTTTTTATTCCTCCTACATGGCTTAAATCATTCAACAGGTTTTCAAATTATCAGTTTTATTTAAAAAATTTTATAGCATAAATCAAAGTTCTCAGTTGTGTTAATCTTTGTAATTAATCTTTAAATAACTTTAAAAATAGGCTAACCCTCCTCACAAAGTTTCAGCAGCATTTGTGTCACTGTAGTTTGACGTAGCAAATATTAGCTTCATAACACTGTGTTGTATTCTTACTGTGTCGACAAACTGAGTGGCAATATTGTCTTTATTTTTTAAATTGCTAAATATAAGTACTTACTGTTGTGATGATTTGCAGCCTTTAATTAAACAGATGCTGGCAGCTGTTAACTACACTGTCCTTTAATGATTATCCATTTTCCTAGCAGCTGATTTTTTTTTTTCTCGTTACCTTTCAGTGTTCCTCTTTTTTTGTTTACTAGTGTAGGGTCTGTTGTCGGTTAAACCACACTTATAATAGTAAAAACATCCTTGATGCACAGAGCATTTCAGTATCGGGTTTCTCTCCTCAGGAATCCAAACCAATGGATTGGACTTTCAGAGGCAGACGGTGCCAACCACAATTGCTAACGCCCTTCCCCCCTCCTTCCTCCAACAGGTACCACATTAGGCATGCACAGCAAAAACAATCTATGCTTAGTTTCTTCTTCTTTTCCTGTGTGTGTTTGTATTTCTCCTATTGAAAAAGCACATGTGTAGCATATATTTTCACGAAATGACTCAGTTTAGTAGTTTCTTAAAAATGACTAAAAATGAAATAAAGTTGGCAAAAACATAAATAAAATTCAAAGAGGTGCACAAATATATTCTCAAGCAAAGAGAGTTCATTTAAATGAGCCAGGCTCTCGGTGTCGCCTGGCAACTAGGCAGATTAATCAACCCAGTATGCTAATTAGCTGCTCTGCGGTTGCTCGGAAACAGATGGCCAGGAATATGTAAATCTATGCAGAATTTACATGCTCTGCATAACAGTTTTTTTAATTAGCATCTCAGCTCTCCCCTCCCTTCACTTTACTTTTCCTCGTCTCTGAAGGCTGCGGCACATTTTAAATACCCACTTTATCTCTGCCTTTTTAATTCAAATTCCTGTCACTGCTCAGACCAAAGGCACATTCTCACAGGCACTTACTAAAAAATATTTTCAGTTTTTGCTGTTTTTAGGATGTCGCCTTATGTCTCGATGAAATGGTAATCAGAATTGCTTTTAATTAAAACAACTGGTGCCTTCTTCTTATGTCACCAAAATAAGTCACCCTCTCTACTTTACCTTCACTAGTCTAAGTCTGAAGACTCTGATGCTCTTCCGACCTCCACCCAGCAGAGTGTATTGCCTCAAACCCAGCTAATGTTGGCCGGGGGACAGATTGCTGGCGTAAGTGCTGCTCGGTTATGACCCAACGTGCGTCCCATAATTTCACCTCGAAACAATCAACCTTGTCCTCAAGACACTTGTTGAAATGGTCTCTTGCTTTTTGAGTCTGGGAAGAAGCTGGTGTCCTCTCTGCCTGTGCCTGCTCATCCAAGTGGTACTTGGTCTACATCAGAATTCTTCCATAACAGAAAATGATGAAATGCATTCAGACTCATGGGCTCTGTGTGAAAATCCTACGCTGGAACGTATATGACACATTTCATTTTCATGTTTCCCTGAGGCCTTGCTGTAGAGTAGACAGCTGATGTGGTTGCTGCTGTGTTGTGCAGAGGTGAATGTTTACTGTGCATGTGGATCTGTGTTTGAACATGACATCAACATACTCATTTGCACTTTTGCCTTGCACACATGCATGTCCTCTCTCCATTTGCCTGTGAAGACTCATGTTTGTCTTAAGTTTTAGTCACGCTTTGATATTTGTGAGAAAAGTGAGATTTATAGTTGATAAATGCTCACTTTGTATTTCTATAACTTGGTCAAAGAAAAATGTGTGCACATAATGTACAATATCAAAAGAAAACTTGAACAGTTTTGTTCTATAAACAGCAGCGGCAAGCAAAATGATTAAATACTCCAGTTTAGATGATGCTATTGACAGTCCCAGAGCAAGGCAGGTTTAAATAGAGTGCATTTTTTAATGATCAATAATAAAGTCTCCCAACTATACATGCATACTTGTGTTTATTATAACATGCAAAATTATCCTGCTTGGTAAAAATTATTCTGCAATAAACACAGCTGTTATCGTGTCAAACAATAAATTCTATCAAAGACAAACTTTTCTGTCTGATCTTAAACTTGTATTAACGCTTTCCACTTTCTCTGTTGCCGTCTCCAGTTGACACTGAACCCACAGCAGCAGCTGTTGCTTCAGCAGGCCCAAGCTCAGCTCCTGGCTGCAGCCATGCAGCACTCAGCCAGCCAACAGAACAGCACCACTGGGGCCAACATCTCTGCCTCTGCAGCCACACCCATTACCCAGCTGCCCCTATCACAGCCCATCCAGATTGCCCCCGTAAGTCAAAACTGTCAATTGGTCATCAGTGTCTGCAAATCCTGATGCATAGTTTGAAGTGGAAGTGTTTTTTTGGTATGGGTAAGTTCAAATTTTTTGTTTTTTGTTTTTTTGTAGCAACTACAACCGCAAGGTATAAGCCTGCCGCAGTTTGTCCTGGTTCAGCCTGGCCACCCGATCGCTACACCACTGCAGCCCGCCCAGTTCATCATCTCACAGACACCGCAAGCCCAACAAGGTCAGTATGGCTGCCACGCTTAAATATGCATACAAAATGGGTAAGAAAGAAAGATGTCAATAGTTGAAATTGCTTTTTGCTTCCTTTTGTCATTTGGTTTTGACGCTTAAGGCATTTTGCAAGCCCAGAGTCTTCTTACTCAACTACCTCAAAGCCAAGCTAACCTTCATCCGACTCAACCAAGCATCACCCTTGCAACTCAGGTTTGTAATGATGCACCGCGTCTGAACTTCAAACCATGCATTGCAGTGTCTGCACTTTGTAAATATATTTGAAGCTTTCCAGATTTTCTACTTTTTTTTTTACACGTTTTTGTTTTTCTTCGAAAACCTTTCTTAACCAAGTAACCAGTCATTTGTTATTTTGTGTCCTCTGCAGCCTGCATCTCCATCCCGCACCACAGCAGCCACAAATATTCAGACCCTGCCCCACAGTCAGACGCCACCTAAACGCTTAGACACCCCCACTCTAGAGGAGCCCAGTGATCTGGAGGAACTGGAGCAGTTTGCCAAGACTTTCAAACAGCGGCGGATCAAACTGGGCTTCACTCAGGTGTGTAGCTCTGAAAAGATTTGCTTAATAAATACAGGTTCAGTTATATTTAGATTTGCAAATGTGTTTTTTGACTTTGAACACCTGTTGATGTGTTCATGTGTACATTTATGTAAATATCTCCCTGGTCAAACTAGCTATGTATGTTTTTTTATTTATCTGAACATGTTTTCAGGCTTGCATGTTCATAGAGCCAAACTTGTTGAGCAAAATGTCTAAGGTTACATTTAGTTCAGTTTAAGGTATGATGAGAATATTTTTATGAAACGCAAAAAGCATCTAACCAAGTTAAGTCAGGTACTCTGGACGGATTCATTTTTTTGTAAACTTGCTGAAACATTTTGTCTTTTATCCAAAAAACAACGTTTCAACAAATTATTATTATTTTTTTTTAATCCATTCAGAGGACCTGACTTAACTTTGTTAGATTTTTCTACCTGGATTATTGAGCATGCATCTGGACACACAGAAACACTTTTTAAAATTAATAACTGATGAACAGAGATTAGTTTTTAGGGTATTAATCAGATGAACCTTAATAATTTATGCAATTCATATTTCTCTGCCTCTCTCCCCTTTGTCTGACAGGGGGACGTTGGCCTGGCCATGGGGAAGCTGTATGGAAATGACTTCAGCCAAACTACCATCTCTCGCTTTGAGGCCTTGAATCTGAGCTTTAAGAATATGTGCAAACTTAAGCCTTTGCTGGAGAAGTGGCTCAATGATGCAGGTTAGTACCTGAACCTTCATGATCATTCAGGTGAATGATCTCTCCTGTAATAGACATGGGATGAACGGCACCTGTTAGCATTTTTAGACCAGTCTGTATCTCATTCAAACGTCTAAGACATCAAGGCTGCAGGAGGAATCGAGACAGCTCTGTAAATAGTAATCGGCTCTACAGTTGCTGCTTCAAAGGAGTGGGCTTGTGTTTTTTGCATTGTATACCTCTTCTTTACCTCTCTTCCCTTTGTTTGGGTCGGTGCTGTTTGTGCAGAGAACCTGACATCTGACCAGGCCTTGTCCAGCCCCAGTGCCCTGGGCTCTCCGAGCATGGGCATAGAGGGGATCAACCGCAGACGGAAGAAAAGGACCAGTATCGAGACCAACATCCGAGTGGCCTTAGAAAAGAGCTTTCTGGAGGTGAGATTACTCATATTCCTGAAGCTCACAACGTTTTGTTTATTTTTATGCATTTGCACTTTTTAAATTTTAATTTTAAAACATATGCGAGTAGTTGCCTTAGTGCTGACAGGGAATCCCTGGCTTCTTTGCCCTCTTCAAGCAGAACCAAAAACCTACCTCTGAAGAGATCACAATGATCGCTGACCAGCTCAACATGGAGAAGGAGGTGATTCGGGTCTGGTTCTGCAATCGCCGACAGAAAGAGAAGAGAATCAATCCACCCAGTAGTGGCAACAGTGGAGGAGGCAACACCCCTATAAAAACCATCTTCACCCCCAGTAGCCCTTTGGTAAAAATTGACACGGACTGAAACGGTTCTGTGCTCACTGTTTTCTATTTGTAGGTTTTTGTTATTGGAGTGAATACTAAAGGACAAGTTCTCAGTTGTCCTTTGGACTCTGGTTTTACCCAAGCCCGTTCAGTTTACTGTTGGTTTGAAGCTGAAGTTAACGTTCTTCTTCAGGTGGCGAGCACAGCAAGCCTTGTAAGTCCAACTATTAACACATCCACCACTCTGACTGTAAACCCAGTGATGCCTCTCACCAACACCAGCGTCTCCAATGTGAATTTCACAGGTGAGCTTTTTTTAAATTGCATTTTTAAGTTGAGTTCCTCTTTGATTGAAACCTTAAAACTCATCCATCCATCCATCCATTTTCTTTACCCGTTTATTCCATTTTGGGTCACGGGGGTCGCTGGTGCCCATGTCCAGCAATCACTGTGCGAGGGGCGGGGTACACCCTGGACGGGTCGCAAGTCCATCACAGGGCCACATAGAGACAAACGAGACAAACAACCATTCACTCTCTCACTCACACCTAGGGACAATTTAGAGTTACCAATCAGCCTAACATGCATGTTTTTGGACTGTGGGAGGAAACCGGAGTACCCGGAGAAAACCCACGCATGCACGGAGAGAACATGCAAACTCCACCCAGAAAGGCCCCTGGACCGGGGTTTGAACCAAGGACCTGCTCGCTGAGAGGCAGCAGCTCTACCAGTTACGCCACCGTGCTGCAGACCTTAAAACTCATTTGTTTATCAAAACTAAAATGATTTTCTGAAAATAATCACTATGTTTAAAATACACCTTTGCTTCATTCACAGATCTATGAATATTTATTATATTTCTCTGTCTATATTGCACACCTGCAGCTGATGCATACATGTTCACAATGACTGAATAGTGTCAATTAGAACCAGGTTTGCTCAGTTTTAGCTCGTCATTATTAGCTGTTAGCATTGTGTGTAGAAAGTAGTGTCTTCTTTTAACTTTACAGAGGACAAAATGGAAAAGCATTACTGTTCATATACATTAGTTTATGTACAACCTGTTAAAAATAGCTTTATGTTACATATAAATAATGGTTTGACTATTTTTGGGTGGATATGTTCATGTTTTGAGTAGATGAGAATTTTCTTTAGTTTTTAAGCATAGCTGATTAGCAACTGCAGAGGGCAAGCAGATGGGAAGTAATTGGTATATTTTCATGCCTGATAAATTAAAGAAAGCCGTTAATTTGCATGGAAACCATCTTAAGTGTGTCAGAATTATTCTGAAAGAGAGAAAGAGATTTAAATTTCTTGTTTTCTCTTTACTAAGGCACAACAGTTGGAGTTACAAACACTGCATCTGTCATTTCTACTGCACCCGTAGTTACGTCGACCAGCTCTCCATCTGCAAGTCCGTCCACGACGAGCGTTCAGTCCACAGACGGCAAAGTTGGCATGCAGACCATTGTCACGCATACTCCGACATCTGTAGCTACAACGTTAGGGATGGGTCAGGTGATGGTGGCGTCTCCGGGGCTGTCTGCAGCGCTGCAGGGGGCTGCCCAGTTGTCCACCAGCTCCAGCTTTGCAGCCATGGCAGCTGCTGCGGCGGGGCTCAACCCCAGCTTGATGACATCATCCCAGTACGCTCCAGGGTTAGTATACGCCCCTTTCAAATAAACAATGTTTTCTTTGTTGTTGATGTTGTTGATGATCTGATCTTTTTTCTGTATTCAGAGGTGCCCTTCTCAGTTTGGCACCTGGGGGGCTCGGCAGTGCGCTCAGCCCTGCTCTCATGAGTAATAACACCCTGGCTACCATTCAAGGTGTGTGTTAGTGACACAACAATCCAGTCAGTACTTGCTGTTATTTTCTGATCCAAAATATACAAAAATAAATAAAAAGCAGTTTTAAGAGAATAAAAAGGTCTTTGAGGATATTGAAATTTAAACAAAAAACCTTGTCAGTGTTTTTACAGACTGACAAATCCAGAAAGCTGTACCCGATGGGTTAAAAAGGTATTTAAAGCAAAGCCCAACCTTTTAGGGTGTGGCAGGAAGAGATGAGGATAAATGTAACACAGATTGTACCAAGATTAGTAGTATTTCATTGCAAAATGTAATTATTTGTTTGTAACCATTTATATTCAAACTAATGGTTTTTTTTTAATGGTAACCTTGGAGGTTATAAATTCTGCACAGAGAGGGCCAAATGTAATTTTTTAAGAATAACTTATTATAACAATAACTA